AAAACATATACAATACAATTTAAAATAAGTTTATTCATGTGATGCAAAGCTGAATTTTCAGCTCCATTACTCCAGCCTTCAGTTTCACGTGATCCTTAAGTCTTGTAAGTCTTGACTATCACTTTTTTTATATATATATTTAACACATAAGTTTCCAAATATTAAAAAAAATGTTTCCAACATTGATATGTCAGCATATTAGAATGATTTCTGAAGGATCATGTGACACTGAAGACTGGAGTAATGAAGCTGAAAATTCAGCTTTGATCACAGGAATAAATGACATTTTAAAATATATTGACATAGAAAACAGTTCTTTTAAATTGCAATAATATTTCACAATATTGCTGTTGTTACCGTATTTTTGATTACATAAATGCAGCCTTGATGAGCAGAAGAGATTACATATTCAAGCACTTGTGGATGGACTGAAAGAGAATAATTCAGCAGTCTGTTTCTTCTGTGCTCTTATTGTGTCTCCAGATCATTTGCTATGTGCTCAGACTGTCATGCTACACACACCAAACAATTCAGACAGACACAAAAAGATGTTTAACAGGTCAGCAGTGAACATGCCGCAGCTCTTTTGAGGAGTCTGATTAGACAGGCATTCATGCATGGCACGGCAATATGGCACAAAGAAAAGCCACTACGATGAGATGATTTCAGCTGAAAGACACTTTGGTCAGGCACCTGTGGACCTCTATTTGACAACATGATCTGATGATGAGAGATACTGAGCGGCTTATTATGAACACTTCAATAGCAAAGAATACTGTGTTATAATATCAAAGTAATATGAACATAAAGAGCATTTTTCAGACTTTGTAGTCGTTCTAACTCTGCTGGCAAGATGTCTAATTCTGTTGAATTGAAAGAGCGCTCAGTGTGGGTCAGGGATGTTCTTTACTTCACAAAATGAGAGAAAGTTAGATACTCTCTTCATCGACCCTGCAATATGTTTGTCAAGCACATGTCCAAACTCTCCAGCTTGATCCTGCTCTCTGTTTGATCCTTCCCACCATCTCCAGCCTTGATGTACTTACCAATTCTGTATTTCTTGGTGAATGTACTGTAGGATTGTGTTTATGTGAGATACTGTACTCAGAATGCATTTGTTTACTTTTCTCTTTTTGAAGGGTTTATGTATTTTTTTAATAAAAACTTCAGTGTATTTGCTCACTATTACTGTTATTATTTCTCTGTTGTCTGCTTTTTTTTTTTCTTTCTACCTTTGTAATGTATCTTTAAAATGTATAAATAAATCATTTAAAAAGAACAAATAGGCAGAATTCTGTTTAGGGCTACTTTAATTCTACACTGTAAAAAAATATTGTTTTGGAGTTGTAAATAAAGTGTATGTTTTACAAGAAAACACTATTTCAGTCTTTCACCTTCGGAATTCAATTTTTAATTCAATGTGTTAATTGCAGTAATTTCTGAGTGAATACCAATTTATTTCAGTGTATTCTTATTTTATAGTCCTATGTTAATGTATATGAATTATAAATGCAATATAAAATTTATGTATTATAAATTAAATGAATATGTTTATTAAAATACATCTTACTTATAACAGTAAACATTGTCGAATTTTACTTAAATCATAAAAAATGAACATAAATAAGCAGAATTCAGTTTAGGGCTACTTTTGTTCTACACTGTAAAAAAATTAAGTTGCAAATAAAACAAATTATTGGAGCATGTTTTACAAGAAAACACTATTTCAGTCGTTCTACTTAAACATTTTATGTTTAATTAAATGTTACTTGCTTTTTCTTTGCAATTATTTCTGAAGTTTGCTAATAGTCGTAGAGAAAAATAGTTTCTACACCAACTTTTGTACAGTGTATTTTCTTAGTGCTGTTAATTTACATTAATTATAAATGCAAAGTATAATTTATTTATTATAAATTAGAATTATTCAATTATTATACATCTTGTAAAAAAAAGAAAAGTCAAATTTTACCTTTAATTCTACACTGTAAACTTTTTTCAAAGTTGTAAATAACACAGAGATTATTTCCATCTTTCTACTTTCCTCTTTTTCATCTTTTATTTCACATTTAATTCTTTGTAATCATTTGAGAAATTAATTAGCAATTTCTGAGTGAAAATGTTTGTTTTTTTCTACAATTATTTTTCCAGTGTATACCATTTAATTAAAAATATCCCATATTCCCAAATAAACGAACAAAAATAAAACAAAGAGGAAGGACCATTGCATTTCTGCAAGCTTGTTGAATCAAAATTGTATTACTGCCTTGTTCACATGTACTCTCACACAATGAATAGCAAGATGAAAGTATTCACAAGGCCTGCCATTGTTTCCACTTCTTGAAAGACTGTCAAGCCACGTGCAAGACACTTGTTTGATCAGTGGAAACAAACCGAACATACAGTTTTTAAGAGCACAGAACACCTGACAACTGTTTGCGTGTGGAATTTCAAAGGTGCATGTGAAAAGTACGATTAAAATTTCAGCACCTTGGACAGCAGCCTCATGAGACACTCCAGCGGCGGCGGCCTTGAAAACGCTTTACTCACTAACAAAACCTGAGCTTCCCCAGAGAATACAGCACACTTCGTAAACGAACCTGTCGTCCCTCCTGCGGACTGCAAGGCGGAGGTGTGTGCTGCAAGCACAGGAAGTCCAACTTAAACTAGTGAACGTCTCTCTGAGAGAAATTCCCAGCATTTCTCCACATCTCTCTCTCAGCCCAAGCATGCCACGCACAGCTGACTGAATAATGCAGAGGCTTTGCCCACTGCTCAGGCATGAGTAGATAATCTGGCCACAAGGACACAGTGTGTCAACATTGCACTTATTGTTATTTATTTATTTCTCTAGTCCATCCGAGACAGGAGGGAAAAAGGCAGCAGAAGGCAAAAGCGCACTCTCTCACACTCTAAAGTTTTTTCTTTCTTTAGCTCGTCCACGTCTTTTCAGGGAAAAAAGCATTTTTGGGAAGCTTTCAGCCCATTGGGTCCCAGCGGCGGATTGCTTGCACGTGGACAGTGAAGGAGCTCAGTGCATTAGCAGCATAATCGGCTCTGGAAGTTCTGGAAACGAGGAGCATCTCTGGTTTTTAATTACCTTTCTAAATTTAGGGCTGAACACCAATTAAACAGTGAATCCTTTGGGGGTTATTGATGGTGCAATCATGTGGCATGTTCAAATTTGACTTTTTTATTATTTGCACACTAGCAATGTGATTCAGAGCACTGACTATTAGTAGTTCAAGATTAATTTGCATAAACACAATCTTTTGTCTACATTGTTAGCAAAAAGGGAAACTCAATGTTATTGAGACTAAAAAAAGCAATTATTATCCACAATATTTTCTTGTTTTTCACAGTTCTGATTTTAACAGAAAGGACAGGAAAAGGCAGTTAATTCATAACTGTGACGTCACACCCATAAAGGAACATTCAACTGGAGGGCAAAACAAAGCCCGCCGGTTATTTTTACTAACTACTAATGAACTAAGACAGTGATATTAAAGGAATAGTTCACCCAAAAATGAAAATGTGCTGAATATTTACTCACCCTCAGGCCACCCAAAATGTAGATGAGTTTGTTTCTTCATCGGAACAGATTTGGGGAAATGTAGCATTACATCACTTGCTCACCAATGGAGCCTCTGCAGTGAATGGGTGCCGTCAGAATGAGAGTCCAAACAGCTGATAAAAACATCACAATAATCCACAAGTAATCCACACGATGCCAGTCTATCAATAAATGTCTTGTGAAGCGACAAGCTGCGTATTTGTAAGAAACAAATCCATCATTATAACATTTTAAACTTTGAACGAGTCCTTTCATAATATTGCTTTCTCCAGTGACAAAAGTTGTCTCGTCTGAATCAGGAGACACAATATACACAGAAAAAGCACTTTTTACAATCAGAAACAGTTCAAAACAGATCTTAACAAATATAGTCGTGTGAAGCTTGTCGCATGGATTTTCCTATTCAGTCAATTGTGTTCATTATTGATATCAAGGACATGAAGGGGGTTTGATCTCCAAGTAACCTCATCGAGGCATTCGCGTTGTGAATTGACGTTCGCTTGAAAGCGAACTGCACCAGTCAAATTGATAAAACAAGCGGTGGTCCAGCACACAATGTGACTGTGGTCACCCTTCACTCATTTCTGCTGCTTGAGAAGTATATTAAAAAGTCATACAACTTGGGTTCAGTACGATAAATGGAAATTCTGTCATCAGTTACTCACCCTCGTATCGTTCCAAACCCATAAGACTTTCATTCATCTTCAAAATACAAATTAAAATATTTTGAATTAAACCGGAGAAATTTCTGTCCGTCTGTTAAAAGGCCATTGCACCAAAGCTTTGACACACATGAGTACATCAAATATGACAAACAGAACCTGAAATGTGCTTGCTTGACATGCAAGAACAAACTTCATTGGCTTGTGCATCTAGCAAATGCATCTTAGCTTCCGTTTACCATATTTGATGTGCTGTGTTGTGTGTGCGTTGATCAAAGTTTATACGTGAAAAAAGAAAAAGAAAAAAAATAACTGTTGGAAATATGTGGGTGAGTAACTGATGTCAGAATTTTCATTTTTTGGTGAGCTAAAACCTTTTCAATCAGCAGCACATAATGTTGATAGCTACAAAAACAAAATTAATTTAGGAAGTGAATGGGGATAATCTATGATAATTAATGCTAATATACTCTGTGTCCATAATACAGCACCAGGACATAAACATCATTTTAGTGTGCAAAAAATATATATATTAACCTTTTTGTGTAAAGTTATATCCAGTTTTACTGCACAGCATCAAAGAACCTTTTTAGCTCAGACAGAACAGATGTATTAACAGAATAATTAATGGAAGTGCTTTTATTAAATCTGACTCCATGTAACATCAGGGGTTCAACCGTAATTTTTCTAAGCTACGAGTATACTTTTTGTGCGCAAAGAAAACAAAAATACACGAAACAGCTTGTAACACTCCAAAGAGAAAAGAAAACTTGAAATCGCATTATATGACCCCTTTAACGTAAACAGCAACAGTGGCGCTTATTTATACTTATACTATTTATATTAAACATCACATGCCACAAAATAAAAAAATAATGACATTATTAGCCACTTTATTATAGGTTCACATAATAAATAAATAAATAAATAAACATTTAAATGTACTGAAGATAGGGGCGCCAAAACGCGCTGGGAGGCAAATCCTAACGGACAAATCACCTCAAGAAACTAGCCAACACACTCAAAACACCGCTGAAAGTCGCTGTGCAGTCTTCAAACTGAATTAGGAGCGATAAAAGGCTTATAAACGCAATCGCAGGGCAGATAGAGCAGGCATGCCGAGATGTGAAGCTCTTACCTGCTCAGATGAATCCTCGCAGGTGAAGTTGAGCAGACATGAGGAGAAGAGCTCCTCATCCGAAAGCCCATAACCGTCCATCGTCTCCGTGCTTCCGCTTGAATATTTCTTCCGAGAAAACGTCTGTTTCTTCCCCGTGATGAGTCTCAGCCGGTTCGGTTCTCCGTCGTCCTTGGGTTTAACGAACGGCTCGTGAGCCTCGGCAGCTCCACTCCGTCACGTGCGCGCCGTCGCTTCCAAAAAATCAGGATCTCTCCACCGGCACAGGGATGTTCATTCCTGTTTACATCTTCTTGCTTATAATGCCTTTAGTGTCACATATATGAGTACCGGGGCTGCCTGGGTCAGATTAGGATGTTTAGAATGAAACTGCATGGAAGAGAAAAGTAACAGGCTATGTCTCATGTTTACAGCTAATGAGGCCTGAGCTGTTGCAGTCATCAGGATGGATAGCAAACTGTCTTGGAAATATTTGTGGATTTCTCTACATGAATAATAAATACAATTTTCATGCTGGACTCATTAGGCCTTTATAGATTATTATTGTAGACAGTCAAATCAGTTTCATTTTTGGTTTAGGTGGTAATGTTTATATCAATAGTCCACATATATTTTCCATAAAAAACCTTTAAGTGTTTACCTTTACTGAATGAAAAAACAAATTCTGAGGTCCCAGGTGCTCTATTTTCGTGCACTAATTTTGTACTTAATATACTAAAAATTATAGACTTAAGATCATCTAAGTGTGCTCAACTGTGCTATTTTGGGACTCAAAAAAAGCACACTAAAATGTGCTTTTTACATACTATGTATTTAAAAAATGTATTTATTTACCACTTGTAGTACACTTGAACCCATCTTTCATACACTAGTACACTCAAGTGTGCTACAAGTGGTGATTAAATACAGATAGTATGTTAAAAGTGTATTTTAGTTCATATTCATGGTGTCACAAAATAGCACAGTTGAGTACACTTAGATGATCTTAAGAAGTTCTAAAGAATCAGTTTTAGTATAAGTGCAAAATCGGTGCGCGTTAATAGAACACTTTAAGTACATTATGGAAGTGTACTTTTTTTCACATGGGGTAACATCCCACAAATTATGTCAGTTGAGTTTGAATTTAACCCAAAATTATGTTCGACTTTGATGAGATCCATAAATGTGTGGTAATTTTTAAATAATATTTTCACTTCGGACTCATTCATGGACAAATTCAATCTTATTTGATCTTCCAAATGATGGTTGATGTGCTAAAATTATTTTTATTAATTGAACAAATAAAAAAAAATATGGTTTGTATAATACTGATTATAGGCATACATCCATCTTCCATATCGCTTGTACTACTTGGTTGTGGATGTGATGGATGATTACTGACAAACAGCAGGTTAATGATATCGGAATGTTAGGATAATGTTTGAAGAACATTCTGCAAACCAAAAACTAACATTCTATTTCCATTAAGAAAAGTTTCCTGGCTAACCAAAAACAAACCTTAAAAATAACATTCTGGAAACCAAAAAGTGTTAGCTGGGTAGGTCCTTATAGATTATAAAAGTGCAAAGTCAAACCAGCATTTAGATTGTGAGTAATGTTTAAAGTCCACGTATATGTTCCATAAGGATTTTGGGAACTGAGAGGCTGATTGTTGAATATAAAAAAAATAAAATAAGTCGTGGTATTGAAGGTGGGAGAGAGCGCTGTACATTCACTCCCCCCACCCACAATTCCTGCCGGACTTGAGACTCGAACTCGCAACTTTTGGGTTATGAGTCCGACTCTCTAACCATTAGGCCACGACTTCCCTAACTATCCCTAAAAGGGATAGTTCACCTAAAAATGAAATTTCTGTCATCATTTACTCACCCTCATATGCCTCCAAACCTGGCCTTCTTCCATGGTGCACCAACTGCATTGGCTTTTTCGTTATATTTTGCTCTTGCAAAGTGAAAAAGACAACAGGCCCTGTGTTTAAACCGGTTTAATGAACTATAACCCATTAATTATTCACTGGACTACACTTGGAATCTCGTTTCGCTCCTCAAATCCTCACACGCATCTCTTTCCTGGTTTATTTTCTTGAAAGTAATTTAAAACTTTATTTTCTCCCCTTATCTTCACTTCTAATCCCTATTAGCATCCTTTACTGTGTTTCTTTAAGTACACTCTAAACCCAACCGCTGGGTCAAAACAACCCAATAGCTGGGTTTGTCCCTTTTTAACCCAGCGCTGGGTTATATTTAACCCAGCATTTTTTAGAGTATAGAGACACAATAGACCGTATACTTAAGCTTTTATCTGTCAGACGGATGAAAAGCATTTTGGATTATCTGTTAATGTAAAATTAGGTAAATGACAGAAAAAGTTCTGTTAATACACAACCATTGAGGTCATTTGTAAGAAGTGCAATTTAAGTTTCCATTGAAATCAAGGTTTAAATATCCAATTACTATCTAAATATGTTGTGCATGTACATGAAAGTATATATATACTGTATATAAAAAAAGAATCCATATAGTAACTTTTTGCGAAAAACCTGTAGATGCATTGTGCCATGTCTGACATCAGTGACGCCGAATTATAAATTCACGTAAATTAACAGGATAATAAAATTGACATTTTCTTAATAGTTTACAGTCATGTATCAAAATCCTCAGTGCTGATGTTTCTTTTTGAATTGCCTGATAACAGCTCTACATAGCCTGCTCTACATATCAAAGAGAACAGATACATTGATCAAATGTTTGAACGGATGCATTTTTTATCTTACAGGCGCAGTGCTCGGTAAGCGCTTTTGAAAATTTACAGATGTTATCTATTGACTTTAATTTTAGGGATTCCTAGGGAGCCCTTTCATGCAATATTTCCTTTTGCTTTGTGAACAAATGTAGATATTGTGAAACTGAATAAATCTACAGCCAACAGAAGTTTCCTAATTATCAAAAAAAAAGCCTATTTTGACCCTAACTCTGGGCTTTAAACTGCAAGAAGTGATGCAAGCCAAATAAACACAGTAGATTGGTTTGTTCATCATCACGATATCGGATCATTTTCCTTTAGTGTAGATAGTGTAGACTGCATATTAGGGGTGTGCGATATTTATCTTCTACAATCATATCATAATAGTTGTTTTAACAATATGCAAGCTGACATTAATCTGTTTTTGAACTAATCATTTGAGTCAATGATTCAATATCAAATACAGCCACTTGCTACGTTTCTACATGAATCCACCGTTTTGAAGAAATCGTTTGAATGAATCACTCATTAATCACTGAAAAAGCGACTTGCAACCACCTACTGGTGGATTAAGTATCATATTTATTAATCCATGACAGGCCTAAATTAGCCAAGGTACCAGCATAAAAATACACTAAGCAAAATATTATTTAAAGGTAGAGTAGGCGATTTCGGAGAGGCTAGCAATAAGCTTTTAAAGCATAAGATCCCACCCTCCCTGCAAAGCACTCTCCAAAGCCACGCCTCCTTCAAAACACATGAGATATGATTGGACGAACATTTTATGGTCACCGACGATAAATACATATAAATGATTTTAGACCACTTAACTTAGTGATTGCTATCAGGATGTGAAGAGACTTTCAACCAGCATAACATAAAATATTTTTGAACTAAATCACCTATACCTGCCTTTAATTATCGGTATCGAAAAATCACAAAAAATATTGAGATGATGTTTTTTTCAATATCGCACACTCCTAACTGCATATTTAGCAATATGTACGTCGAGGCCTAGGTAAAGCTAATGGAAGTCATAGCATATGCTCCAGAGTCTCGTGTTAAGCTCTCATTTCTCACATTTGCAGCAATGCAGATGGCGGCAAATCTCCCTGAACTGTCTTTTAACTGAGCCGAGATTAATTTCTCAAAGATCCACCATTTGCGGTTTATTTCAAACAAGCAGGATAGTCCTCCTCTCTCTGTAGGGCTAATATATCAATGGCATCCTCGCGCAGTAACCCATCACAGGTAGGCTGCTGAGCTCCTGTCAGAGATGGCGTGATTGAATTGTTCCATCGCTCTGTCACCAGAGGGGCCATTACTTCAAATTAGCATACAAATTCAAACCAGGACAGATGGATTTGTCACATTCCAGTCGACATCTTCCTCCGAGATTGGCTTCGCTAACACTGTGCGATGAAGATAAGACACCTGTCTCTGCTTCATTCAGGACAACAGGTGGAGGACAGCATGGAAAGAGAGGTAGGGAAATGCGGAGTTGCCGACAAAAAAAAAAATTCAAACATCCTCAGAGTGCTGCGGGTGCTCCTGTAGACCCTGTGCATCGGCTTGATTGATATTTTGGTCATTGCAATATTTGTGCAAGTTGGGTACATTTGCAAGAAACAAAGCATGTGTCTACAATGCTGATGTTGTTGCTCCCAAATTTTGATTTAAAACAATGTTTAATACTCTCAGGCCTGAATAACACGTAATCCTAAATGGAATTAAGTATGCACTCATTCATTTGATCAAAGTAACATTTGATGCATGTTGATGGCAGTGATGTGCAGTTTTTAGTCTATGTTTTAGACTCAGTAAACCATTTGTGACCCTGTCTGTGAAATCCAGGCTAAAGTCTCAAAATCTAATTACGAGATAACAAGCATCAAAGTTTGATTTCAACCATTCATTTC